AGAAATGTACAGCATTTTAAGTTCATGATTTTTTCGGTGGCGTAATCAAACCAAAACTAGAAATCATTATTCACACCGTACAGTATTCTTTATACATTTAAAATACCCATCTATTGTCGTCTTTATTGTTCATTAGTGCAATAAATTGGTTTGTTCATTGCGTTTATATAGTTGATTGTTTTTAACGGCACATTTTACGGTACGCTCGATGATGAGTGGTTCCCAAAGCTCATTTCTATATGACAGAAATGGGCAGGATAAAAATCACTCAGACGGCCTCACAAATATCTCTCACTAGTTTTGTCTTTATAGGTCAGTAATTTATTCATCGTATAAGCAAATTCATAAGGATTGCCATGCCAATTAGATAAGACGCCTAACTAAGAAAGTTAGAGACAAAAAAAAAAAAAAACGGGTCGAAGGAACTTTGCAGGAGGATTGACTTTACAAATCTTTGATAATCAATGTCAGTCAGATGACCTCAGGGAATACAGAGGGTGCAGCCTCCACTAGACACTTTTCACACCCTAAGGGCGTACAGAGATGAGGAGGTCATCTTCCTCGATATTTGCTATCGGTTACAACTTTTTTAGTATTATGCAGCAGAAATTCTATCTAATCATTTCACTACGGTGTGACAGTCGTTGATTCGCATCTACGATGGAGGGGTTCCGTATAATATCAGCGTAATTTCCGCTCTCGCCGCAGTGAAATTTCGAGTTAGACACTCTAAAAAGGTAAACGGAGTCACGTTTAGTTATAAATTATTAATCGAAGGCTGTTTGTATTATAATTTTTATAATATTGAACTTTGGGTGTTTTGTTTGTGCTGTGTGCAATTGTTTTAATTTTACACTTTGTTCGTAGAACGAAAAGAATTTACAGCAAAAATTGTGGTACGTACTTATCTTGACTTAATGTGAATTTTATTTCAATAGACTACATTGCGAAATATTAAGAAATACCAAGGTATTATTTACTTTTTTTTTTTCTTAAAAACTCAGTGTTTAAAAGTTAAGTCGTATTCCGATAAATCTTTATTCAATCAAAACATTTTTAAACAACGAAAACTACTTAGTTCAGAATAGGCGTTCAACAAAAAAATGACAAATATCAACTCCTTGGTTTCTTAGAATTTTTGTATATACATACATATATACATTTGAAGTAAAAGTATCCATCTATATATTAATACGTGAAGCAAAAACTTTGTATCCCTGTTTACGAAAATTGCGCGGACGGAGAAGTATGAAATTTTCCACACTTATAGAAAATATAGAAAAGAAGTGCACAATGCTAATATTTTTTAAGATAATGCATAAAAGATACATTAAATCAATAAAGAAAACATTACACACACTACCATGTATTTGACGCACACACGCATTCATACTATTTATTTATTGTCAAACTTTTGTTCTTGACGTCTGTTGTCAAATAGAGAATAGATTAAATATTGTTTGTCTTTGTTAATATTTTTTATAGTGTAGTCTTAACGAAATTTGTGATTATAGAGGTATAAAATACAATCATAATAGTGTAAAAACTTACAATTCCAATTAATTATAGTCGAATTTCGACTACTGCGAAACCTCTAGTATACATAGATATGTAAACGAAAAGGATATCATTTAAAATTCACGTGATTTAAAAATGACATCGCGCGGACACATGGTCGGAAGTCATTTGCATTAGACGCGCCCGCGCCTCAATAGATGACTTTCTCTTGACGTCATAATAGTTTATGTAAATAAAAATAAAACGTAAACGGGTTATAGTACTTTCGGTGGTTCTCGAGTAGCGTATACATTTAAAAACAGATGTCTGTTTGTTGAAACGTACAGAAGTTAACAAGAAAAATAACAAATGCACGCCTACTTTTGCATTGTTTAAATATCATCGCACAGAAAAGTACAATCAATAATTACAACTAGTGGTCCCGCAGTGGTCGAAATTCGACTATAATTAATTGGAATTGTAAGTTTGTACCTTATTATGATTGTATTTTATACTTCTATAATCACAAATTTCGCCAAGATTACACTATTAAAAAAATATTAACAAAGACAAACAATATTTAATCTATTCTCAATTTGACCACAGACGTCAAGAACAAAAGTTTGACAATAAATAGTATGCATGCGTGTGTGCGTCAAATACATAGTATGTAGTGTGTGTAATGTTTTCTTTATTGACTTAATGTATCTTTTATGCATTATTTAAAAAAAAATATTAGCGTTGTGCACTTCTTCTCTATATTCTCTATAAGTGTGGAAAATTTCATACTCCTCGGTCCGCGCAATTTTCGTTAAAAGGGATACAAAGTTTTTGCTTCACGTATTAATATATAGATGACATTGCTTCCTTCTTTAAGAAATACCTTCCACTGTATCGGCGAGGAGAATATAAATTTAATAATTAAGCGTGCTGAGCGTGTATCATTAACGATATCTAGGATAAGCTAGGATCAAGAATTATCTATATATTAATACGTGAAGCAAAAACTTTGTATCCTTTTTACGAAAATTGCGCGGACGGAGGAGTATGAAATTTTCCACACTTATAGAGAATATAGAGAAGAAGTGCACAATGCTAATATTTTTTTTAAATAATGCATTAAAGATACATTAAATAAATAAAGAAAACATTACACACACTACATACCATGTATTTGACGCACACACGCATGCATACTATTTATTGTCAAACTTTTGTTCTTGACGTCTGTGGTCAAATTGAGAATAGATTAAATATTGTTTGTTATTATTAATATTATTTATAGTGTAGTTTTGGCGAAATTTGTGATTATGGAAGTATAAAATACAATCATAATAGTGTACAAACTTACAATTCCAATTAATTATAGTCGAATTTCGACTACTGCGGGACCTCTAGTTTGATTAAAAAGGTGATCAATTAAAATTCATAAACGCTTAAAAGCACATAAACCTTAATACACCTAATATATTTTCTTTACTACAATAGTGCACTGAATTAAGGGGAAGATTGTTTTTTTTCACACACTTATTTTATCGCACAACATTTTTATTAATTCAAACAACACTTGTCGAATCTTAGTTCGCAGCACGTCGTAATCTGAGTGTGGTTCTTACTCGGGGTCAATGTATTTAATAAAGACGTTTATCTCGCAGATTTAGTACAACATTGCTGGGCTTATTTCGGCTTAGCCATTACGGACATAGGTTTATATGCTGTGAACCCAAGTGGGATGCTGTATAACCGTTCAACCGACATCTGTCGAGGGGCAGTGATATATACTTGTTTAAAGGGTTGGGTAGTTAAGATGAGAGTGCAGGGGAATTATTTAGTGGGTGGGCCTGTACCATCATCGTCCCAGCTCTTAACCATCTTCGACCATGACCTTTAACATCTGCGGCCCCCGGGCGGAACAAAATAGAGCCGAAATCCCATAAGTCTATATTACTAAGATAATAGAATCTATATTGAATAAGTAACATGCATTTATGTGTATTCACTGGTGGTAGAATCTCTTGTGAGTCCGCGCGGGTAGGTACCACCGCCCTGCCTATTTCTGCCGTGAAGCAGTAACGCGTTTCGGTTTGAAGGGTGGGGCAGCCGTTGTAACTATACTGAGATTTTAGAACTTATATCTCAACGTGGGTGGCGCATTTACGTTGTAGATGTCCATGGGCTCCAGTAACCACTTAACACCAGGTGGGCTGTGAGCTCGTCCATCCACCTAAGCAATAAAAAAAAGCATATTTTTGTACAAAATCATATTAAATAATTTAATTGCAAAGCGAATTAGTGTCTAGCTGGTTACGCTCCACTTTCTCTCGGCTTATGCAAACATTCGTAACAGTTTCCTGAATGCGAAATCATTTTAATTCGAAATGCTTGGATGTGTTTATCGCTGGTGGTAGGACCTCTTGGGAGTCCGCACGGGTAGGTACCACCACCCCGCCTATTTCCGCCGTGAAGCAGTAATGCGTTTCGGTTCGAAGGGTGGTGTAGCCGTTGTAAATATACTGAGATCTTAGAACTTATATCTCGAGGTGGGTGGCGCGTTTACGTTGTAGATGTCTATGGGCTCCAGTAACCACTTAACACCAGGCGGGCTGTGAGCTCGTCCATACATCTAAGCAATAAATAAAAAAAAATAAAAAAAAATGTTATACTAATAAAAATAGAAAGGTGTAACAAAAGAAGAGTGATAGAATATAAACCAGGTATTTTTTTCTTTTTTCTCTACCTAAATATTAGTCGCCTAAGGGGCTATCGGAATCGCGACCCGCTGAGAAGATCCGGCGAGAAACTCAGCGAGCTGATGCATGAGTGCTTCTATTTGTATACATTCGTATACAAAATTACAAAATTATATAATTTTATTAGTATTATAAATTAGAAAACAAGTTCTTTTAATATTCCACTTTTACTAAAACTAGTCTATCATATTTTTTTGTATCTTCTTGTTTTTTTTTTTCTAATAACCTCTCTAATACTTAATTTTTCTGGTAGATCTTGTTCAGTGTTGCACGGACTTATTCCAGCAAAGTGTTTATTTTTGCCACGAAACAATAAGGGTTTCATAGTCCTGACTATTACACGAGACAGAAGTTTCGACCCCCATTACAAGAACGTATTTATACAAAAAAATATAATTATAGAAACAGATTTATTTAATTTATTGATGTTAAGAGAAAAACATTTTCGAACTGGCAGATGATAAATTTTTATGAAAAATCTACCAGTAATATTTTTATTATACTATAAAATTCTGCATTTTGTATTTTTTTACGTTAAACACACATAAAAAACACATTGTGTGCGGCGAAGTAAAACGTTAAAATGTATATTCACAAAAATCGTGTCGAGGAAGTCACGAAATATTTGCTGAGCGAGATATATTTTAAAGCGAACAGCTCGCGGAGTCATCTATTGCAATATCGGTTTTCACCGCGACCGATACAACGACAGTTTAAAATAACTTAAAAAAAATACTATTCTCCTTTTTTCAGATGTGGCTGGCAGCGCTAGCGGTTCTGTTAGCGGTGTGCGGTTATCTCTTTTTGGATACCCTCAAACCGAGAAAATTCCCTCCCGGCCCGAAATGGATACCGATTCTTGGCTGCGCAAAGGAAGTTTACAAGCTTCGAGAAAAAACCGGCTACCTGTACAAAGCCGTGAAAGAATTATCTCTGACCTACTGCAATGAGACTCCAGTACTAGGTTTGAGAATAGGGAAAGACCGAATCGTGATGGTGAATAGCTTGGAAGCAAACAAAGAGATGTTATTCAATGAGGACATCGACGGAAGACCGAAGGGAATCTTTTATCAAACCAGAACGTGGGGAGAACGACGAGGTGTCTTGTTAACAGACGGGGAACTGTGGAAGGAGCAGAGGCGCTTCCTCATCAAGCACCTTAAAGAATTCGGCTTTGGCAGATCCGGTATGGGCGAGACAGCGAAACTGGAAGCCGAGCACATAGTCATCGACGTAATGCACATGATCGGCGACAGGGGATCAGCCGTTATACAAATGCACAACTTCTTCAACGTTTATATTCTGAATACTCTATGGACGATGATGGCCGGGAATAGGTACAATCCAAGCGACCCACAGATGAAGATCCTTCAAAGCATGCTGTTCGATTTGTTCGCAGCCGTCGACATGGTCGGTACAGCCTTCAGTCACTTCCCGATATTGAGCATCGTAGCACCGACCTTATCCGGTTATAGAAATTTCATTAAAACGCATAAGAGAATCTGGAAGTTCTTGAGAGAAGAACTAGCGAGACATAAAGACAGTTTTCAGCCAGATAAAGAGGATAAGGACTTTATGGATGTGTACATAAGGGCTTTGCGTGAGCACGGAGAAGTGAACACGTATTCCGAGGGACAGCTCGTGGCCATGTGCATGGACATGTTCATGGCGGGCACGGAGACGACCAGCAAGAGTATGAGCTTCTGTTTCAGCTATCTCGTTAGAGAGCAGGAAGTCCAAAGGAAAGCTCAGGAGGAAATTGACAGGGTTGTAGGAAAATATCGGGTACCGAGCGTGAACGATAGGCCTAAGTGAGTACAAATAGAATATCTCAAAACGCTCTAAACATCTAACTGTACCTGATACACCTGATGACCTGGTTGAATTACAGTACAGATTTATGTAGCAACAGGCTCCGGTTGCATTGTATGCAAGACAAATATTTTATTTACGGACGCGTCTCATAATATTTTTCATTTAGTACATTCCTCAATGTCAACTATGAAGAGTGAGTTCCATCATTGATGATCTCAGGGTTCACTTAGTTCTAGGTGGTCATCGGAGACCATAGTCTGTGGTCTGTCTGTCTGTCGACATTTATAAATACGAAAGCGTTCTGCTTTTGGTAGGCAGCGGCTTATCTCTACCCCTGGCATTACTGAAGTCCATGGGTGACGGTAACCACTCACCATCAGGTGGTCCGTATGCTCAAATGCCTACAACGGCAATAAAAGAAATGAAAAGAAAAGCGAGGCATCATTTCATATTTTCCGAAATTATACACGAATTTAAAACATTATGTGGTCAGTGTGGTTAGTCTAAATGCCCACCTTAATGTTATGTGACACTTCAGAAACATTATATTTTATTATTAACTAATTGACCCGGCAGACTTCGTAGTGCCTTAATCGATAAATAAAATACCTAAACTTTTGTATAAAATAAACTTAAAACAAACAAAAGGAATCCGCCCGACGGGGGACACATCAAAGGAAAAACAAAATTGTTTGTTTCTATATAATTCCGAGCATTTTCATATTTATTCACCTTTTAAACCTTCTCTGGACTTCCACGAATAATTCAAGACCAAAATTAGCAAAATCGGTTCAGCCGTTCTCGAGTTTTAGCGAGACTAACGAACAGCAATTCATTTTTATATATTTAAGTAGAGATAGCCGAGTCCCGCGATATTATGTACTGTGTATACATACTTACGCATTTAGTAAAAAGTGGTTATTTTATTATTACAAACAGACACTCCAATTTTATTTCTTTGTATAGATGAGAAGAGAGAGACTCGATAAAATACGCCTCTAGCCTCTGAGGTAACAAATTAACAAAATATCCAAAAGATACAGTGCTGTGCCAATAGTTTCAGACGTTGCTTTTGAATTAATTAGAGCGACGATCTATGGTGTATCTATGGTATGTTTGTCGTTTCAGCATGCCCTATAACGAAGCAATAGTCCATGAGTGTGTCAGACACTTTATGGGACGTACCTTCGGTGTACCGCATCGGGCTCTACGAGACACCACTTTAGCTGGATGCCATATACCTGAGGTATTTAACCAAAATCATAAACCTTTCAGTAGGGACTAGAGGTTTGTTTCTTTAAATGATTTGATTTTATGACTCAACCTCATTGTAAGAAAAAACTGAATTTATTGTCAATTAATAAGGCAATTTTTGTTAAATTTTTACTATCGTAACGTAACTAATGGAAACTATGATCGATAAATTCTTTAACTTATAGGATTATGAAAGTCAAATAATTATGCTTACAGCGCCATCTATTTAACAGTTTTGATAAGTAACAAACTATGTGGTGACCTCTAGTAATATTTCAAGGCATCTTGTCTTTGAACTAAAACAAATAAAGATTCATCGTTGCCGTTTCATAAAGTTCATTTCTCAAATCACAGATGGCGCTATAACACTTGAAAGTCAGACGTCATGAATCTTTACTATATTTCTTAAATTTTACCCGTTACTTCACTCGCTTTCATCTAGAAAATTCTACCTCTGACAACTTGTATACTAAAAGTTATTATAATTATGATTAAGTACACTAAAGTATTAAACTTTAAGCGTCCCAAAAACATCTGACAAATCCACTTTCTCATTTGATAAATATTAGTATAGATAATAAATGGTGAATTAACTAAGTAAATTATTATCACCATTTTATGTTACACAAAAAATTGCACTTTAGTATTTTACGTTTATTTCCAGGACACAATGGTAGTCAGTAACTACACGAACATTCTACTTGACGAGAACTACTTCCCGGAGCCGTATTCCTTCAAGCCTGAGAGGTTCCTGGTAAACGGGAGGGTCAGTCTGCCTGACCACTACTTTCCCTTCGGTCTTGCGAAGCATCGCTGCATGGGCGATGCATTAGCCAAGTGCAATATCTTCGTTTTCACTACTACAATGCTGCAGAGGTTCTCGCTGGTGCCTGTACCGGGGGAAGGTCTGCCGTCCTTGGATCATATGGACGGAGCCACTCCTTCAGCAGCGCCGTTTAAGGCTTTAGTTATACCACGAATTTGAGATAATTTTAAAATTTTTAATTTTAATTTTCATTAACCCCATAACCATTGGGAGTGGTATTTTGATTATGGTAACTTTGAAAAGTATTTCTCAAATTTTAATGTAAAAAAGGGGAAGAATAATTTTAAGGGTTTTGTACTTGTAGTCTCTTTTGAAATCAACAAGTTGAGCTGTCGATACCGAGGTTATTTGAGATGACATCATGATCTCCATAAGCCACCCACCACTGGACTAGACTTGACCTTCGTCTTATCCAAATTGAATGAATTTCCCTCGACGAAGATCCCATTCTCTTTTATTGTTCAAACAGTGAAAGAAAAGGCAAGAAGCTATTCCGAGAGAAATACGTCAACGTTATTAGACTTATTAGTTACGGCAATAGGTCTCATATGTGGCGGTACCTACAATAGTTCAAATTCAAATTCAAATTCAAAATCATTTATTTCAACTTAGATGTCAGTATATGACACTTGTTGAATGTCAAAATATAAATAACAATGTTAACTCTACCACCGGTTCCAAAAAAAGCCACAGTCCTGAGAAGAACCGGCGAAACAAACTCAGCGGGCTTTTTTTTTGTTTTTTCTCTAATATATATATTTTTTAAAATAAGTAACAATATTTGCAATAAACGAAAAAACAAGTCAAAAAATACAATTACAAAATAATAATAATAATGAAAAATGAAAAGGCCAGGAGCGAACGCCTCATTCCCACGTAGTGCCATCTATATAGTAGATAATCCTTAACTTTATAATATGCCTTGTTGCACAAACGTTCCTTGACAGTTTTCTTAAATCTATGAACAGGTAGTAATTGAACGTTTAATGGGATCTTGTTGAAAAGTTGTACACTCAGCTCCCTAAAAGAGTTGCTTATTTTCTTAATTCGAACCGCCGGCAACGCAAGCCTATGTTTGTTCCTAGTGTTCACATTATGCAAATCGCAGACTCTGGGGAATTCTTCAATGTTTTTACGCACGTACAATAAAATTTCAAAAATGTATTGGGACGCTAAAGTTAGAATTTTTATTTCCTTAAACTTGTCCCTCAAGGATTCCCTCGGGTGTATATTATAAATAGCACGAATAGCCCTCTTCCGCAAGATGAAAATCGTTTCGACATCGGCAGCATTGCCCCATAGCAAAATGCCATAGGACATAACACTATGAAAATAACTGAAATAAACCAGACGTGCCGTATCTTCATTAGTATACGTTCGTATTTTTTTACCGCAAACGCTGCAGAACTAAGTCTACTCGCTAACTTGCATATATGAGGACTGCAGCTTGGAATCAACTGTTATACCAAGAAAAACTGTCGAATCCACAGTGTCTCTCCACTTACAGTAATATTAGTGTCTACTTGTCTAACATTAGGTGTGGTAAATTTTATACATTTTGTTTTTTTGTTATTTAATAACAGATTATTAACACTAAACCAATGTACCACGCGCGAGATAGCATCATACACATCGTCATAATCTTCCAATTGTCGTTTAATTTTAAACTATAAGGATGTATCGTCAGCGAATAATGCGACCTCGTGACGGGTTTCAATAAACTTTGGTAAATCATTCATATACACAAGAAATAGGAAGGGACCCAATATGGAACCCTGAGGAACACCCATATTAAGTAAGACACCGGAAGATCTCTTTCCTTTAACGTTAACCTTTTGGATTCTTCCGGAGTAGTGAAGGATTAAAAAAATAATATAGAATTTGAATGAGTCGTCAATTGTTTTATTTTTATCACCATCCACAAGTTTATTGCGTGATTTAAAACGGTTGCCAGTAGTCGTGGCGGCTTTTCTTTTGCTACCTAATCTTTGGTAGCCTAAGGAAAAGTCCGAGAAAGTGTCGACCGCGGGAAACCCCCACTCTGACCGGGTTCTGACCCCAAGCAGATATCGGACGTCGGGTAATAGAGTGCAAGGGGAAATTCCAGCAACTCCCGGACTGCTTTATGGCGGCAATGCTAGTTACAGACTTAAACTTTTATAGCTTTGGAGGAATACGACAACGGACTATTTTACGCTCAGTGGATAAACTTGATCTTTAAACCAGCGGCCTCTGTATTATCGTTCAGAATGTGTGTATGTATAGGTATAGACCCATCTTCAAGATTTCGTTAACGTGATTCAGGCAGTTCTTCAATGATAACTGCTGTTGCAGCTGTAAATACTACAAGGTACATGTGTACAGGTTATCGCGTCATCAAAGTGGTGGGTAATTATGTCAGGTCTGATTAATTACCAGAGGAATTCTCGGAAATGCACCGAAGGTTTGTGCAGTCTAACGTGTCCCATAAACAAACTTGGTAAGTGATTGGTTTCACGCTCACTCCATGTGGTTAGTATTGAGATGGAGATGGAGATTAATTGGTTAGACCTATGTTCAGCGATGGATAGCGGAAGGCTGAGATGATGATGATAATGATAATATGTAGATCAGTAGCAGAATAAAACCATCCCGATTTATATGAATTGCTCCCGAAATTCCGTATAAAATAGGTCGTATTACATAAACATAATATGTTTGTCTTTTTATGTGCCAAAAGTATGGAAAATAAAAATAAATTGAAGATCATTTATTTGTAATTGAAAATCGCGGTTTCTCCGGTAATTAAAATGTATCTTCTTATTGTTTGTTATTTTGTATAAGAATAGCTTAAACTCTCGCATTGCCATGTGAATTATTTTTATTTCTGTTCTGACAACTAAACAGGCAATGGGAACATATTCCTTAAAGCCATATTTTAAGACTTTTAAAACATTTAATTAAGCTCTTTGAATTTGGTTAACGTTGTACAAGGGATTCCCAATAAATACATTTTATGTAACTACAATAGCAGCAATTAATTGTCAAATGAATTGAAATGTCAATAATACACGCCAAAAGTCGTAGCTTATATCATAAGATCCCTGATGTAGACTATGACGGTGTTCAAACCTCGCAGGCAGAATCATTTTTTTCTAATGAAATACATATTATTATGTGAAATTGTTTGAGATGATTCTATTATCTCGTTTTTACCCTCGCACCGCCCGCCACCAGAGTAGAAAGTTCATTCATACTACCTAGAACCACTGCGTTTATCCACAGTGCGCTTCCAGAGATATTTTTGGCAATGTACCATCTGGCTTTGGAATGAGCTCCCCTTCAAGTTGTTCCCCGAGCGCTATGAGATGTCCTTCTTCAATCGAGGCTTGTGAACAGTATTAAACACCAGGAAGCGGTTGGCTCTGTCCCTAGCATTGATGATGTCCATAAGTGATGGTAACCACTCACCATCAGGTGGGCCGTAAGCTCGTCTGCCTACAGAGGCAAAAAGTATAAATAACTAACATTGAGTTTTGTTCCATACCACTTCGACAAAGAGGCACGACACGAGAACCGCCGAAACATCGTGGCCGCCAGTAACTTCCATTCTGGATCTGCGGACAGAATGGAAAGCAGCCGACGTCGCCCAAAACACGTCATTTCGGATCCTCCCGATCCACTAACGGTGCTTTTAGCTACCTCAAAGACCGGTCATCGTTCTCGTCGAACCCGTCGCTTGCGACGAAGGGCTCGACGAGTAAATGAACCCACAGACACAGCCCACTGAGTTTCTCACCAGATCTTCTCAGTGGGTCGCGTTTCCGATCCGGTGGTAGATTCTGCGAAGCACGGCACTGCTAGGGTTCGTGTTAGCAACGTCATCAGATTTGAGCCCCGTGAGCTCACCTGCTAGGTTACGCTGAAATAGCCTCTCAAGGCTCTCAGCTTAGGTAGGAAAAATAAAAAGTTCCATAATAAGTAGTAAAATCAAACCTGCAAAAATGATAATTTGTTTCATTACGGGTACCAGGGCATTTTGTGCATCCGCACTCGTTACTAAAGTTGGATTTCCGTTTTGTTTAATCATTCCAATTCAACAAGATAAGCTAAGCTTTATTCAGAAGAAATAAAGCATAGTATTAACCGATTAACGCTGACTGACTGATTAACAACAGTTAGAATTTAAGCCTTTACATGTTTGAAATTGAAACGTAAGGATTTAAAAAAAAAATGAAACAAAGCATTCGTATTTTTTAAGACATTTTATTAGTTTTTTTTTATTTTTTTATTCTGCCAATAGACATAGATTAAATAATATTAGTGTGCCGTAAGCATGCTATCACTTCCATTTTACATCTTTGGCATTGCTTTTCACACAGACATCCCGGAATAAAACTCAACCATAGTTGGTAACCATAATTGCTTATAATCTACGATTACATGCTTAGCCTATTAAAAAGAGATGAAATTTGTTGAATAAGATTTAAATATTTTAAAACTATGGTTACATACATTGAATATTATATTAAACTTAGTAAGCTAAACGTCTGGAAACCTGGCTCCTTTATTAGGTAAAGACGTTTTTTTATGTTGTAAATGCGACCTTACAAACCTAACCATCTTTAATATATTTCCCCCTGATAAAATCAGTCCTTGCACGTTTTCTTCCTATATGCCATTTGTGCGCTATTTCCAAACATTCAAAAACGTTAATTATATTATTATACGGAAAATAAACCACATCAAGAAGTAGGATAAGAGTAGTAATATGTTGAATAAGACAAACATAATGAATGTAGGGACATAAGCCACAGGGTCGTCCTCTGGTGAGAGCATCCTCGTGTCTTATGTTTAAGAAATAACTAAACTAAACATGAGACTGATAGCCAACACGTTAGTTAATAGAATAACCTAGTTTGTGTGGACTTATGTTACGAATGCCTCAGCTTAATATCTAACACCGAATATGCTTAAATACTAAAAAGATTCGTGCAGTTATAACTAACGTGTTGTAGTTGAACCCAAACGGGACTTGGTTGTACGAAAAAAATACAAATTTTTCAATTTAATGCGAGCCAAACAAAAAAGTGAAAAGTAATCTCTTTGGTAGCGACAAAGCCCCGTTTCGTTCGTGGACGACTATCGAAATGGCGATCGGAACTCGCAGCCTAATGGTTGAATATAAAAACCAAGCAAAACAGTACAACGATGTAGATAAGTAATAGTAGTTCATAATCAACTTCGTAATCTATAAAATACATTTAGAAACCTCTTCCGACTATTATAAGCGCTCGACAATTAAATAGCCAGTTGCTCACATCAATGAACACGGCAAATCTGAACACAAAACAAATGGGCCTGCTTAAAAAAACGAAAGACAAATAGTAGAGAATTGTGATGATATTGGTTTAGTTTAAAATGTAATTATTATTTATCTTCAACTTGTTATCGCTAACTTAAGCTACGTGTATCGGCCGATGGAGTATCTTCTAGTCCTAGACGGCTCGACAAGCAAAATGGAAAAAGATCGAAGTATTCAAGTTTTCTTTTCGTCCGGTGTCTGAATGTAAATCTGTGAAAGGAAATTTAGTTGTAAAAATGCGACATTCGTTTGAATGTTACTGAATTGCTGCGCGCTGGGCAGGGACAAAGTGACACAAATTAAACAAAACTAGAGGTCGCGCAGTAGTCGAAATTCGACTATAATTAATTGGAATTGTAAGTTTGTACACTATTATGATTGTATTTTATACTTCTATAATCACAAATTTCGCCAAGACTACACTATAAAAAATATTAACAAAGGCAAACAATATTTAATCTATTCTCAATTTGACAACAGACGTCAAGAACAAAAGTTTGACAATAAATAGTATGCATGCGNTTCGACTATAATTAATTGGAATTGTAAGTTTGTACACTATTATGATTGTATTTTATACTTCTATAATCACAAATTTCGCCAAGACTACACTATAAAAAATATTAACAAAGGCAAACAATATTTAATCTATTCTCAATTTGACAACAGACGTCAAGAACAAAAGTTTGACAATAAATAGTATGCATGCGTGTGTGCGTCAAATACATAGTATGTAGTGTGTGTAATGTTTTCTTTATTGATTTAATGTATCTTTTACGCATTATTTTAAAAAAATATTAGCATTGTGCACTTCTTCTCTATATTCTCTATAAGTGTGGAAAATTGCATACTCCTCCGTCCGCGCAATTTTCGCAAAAAGGGATATAAAGTTTTTGCTTCACGTATTAATATATAGATAAATGTGTTATTTAATATAATATAATTTCTTAAATAAAAATAAATTTATATGAATCATTATTTTTACAGAAATTTCCGGAATAATATTAAATGTGAAATATAAATTGTATTACAGAAAGTAAAGGTTGGGTGGAAGTAGAATAATTTCTTTATTACATAGATGGGTGTAGGAATCTACGTGCCACTTGTTGTTATTGGTTTTTGCAACCGGTATACTTTAGATTAGGGATACCGTTAGCTGCCTTGAAAGATGAGATCTAAGTTGTAATTGTATACTATAAAGATTTTCCCACCCTTCCAACCGGAAAGCATGAATGCTTCGTTATTGAAACAAACAGGGTAGTTCGGAGTTCCTACAATTACAGGCTTATAATACGCCTAAGCATAAATAAGAAGCGATTAGCGGCCTAAGAACTCATTGACTATGCTACAATATGATTTTACGGAGCAATACTCAAAACCCATGAAAATGCGTGGAATATTTACGTTATAACTAATTCCGTTCGAATTTTTTTTTTATTTTTTTTATTGCTTACATGTCTGGACGAGCTCACAGCCCACCTGGTATTAAGTGGTTACTGGAGCCTATAGACATCTACAACGTAAGGTCTCAGTATAGTTACAACGGCTGCCCCACTCTTCAAACCGAAACGCATTACTGCTTCACGGCAGAAATAGGCAGAGCGGTGGTACCTACCCGCGCGGACTCACAAGAGCTCCTACCACCAGTAAACTCACAAGAGGTCCTACCACCAGTAAACTCACAAGAGCTCCTACCACCAGTAAGTATCTCAGGTGTTCATTTCAAATATCGATTGGTGCAGTGAATACACGAGCTTCCATAATCCGAAGTAAAGGGTTCACCTGGAGCTCATCCCAATATGCATGCCGCATATCACCTAAACTTCTTAAGGCCAGAGTTTCCAGATTATAATAGGTTGTTCGGAAAGTAATTTCGTTTTTTTCCCGACAGGGTATTTAATTGTATTTTTTTTGTATCCAACTTCACATTTAAGCCGTATAATTATTTTTTATCATGCACGGAGCGCCGAACAAATGTGTCAATTCTCGAGGAGCTAAACGTCAAGACCCGTCTATCTACAATCTGTATGCAGCGTCTCCTCAAGTACTTCGGACACGTGGCCTGACAAAATCCTGAGAACTTGGAAAAATTAATAGTTGTAGGTCACGTGGAAGGAAAGAGAAGTCGAGGAAGATTGTCAACCAGGTGGACGGACATTATCAAGGGGGCCACAAACACCAGCGTCCCGGGCGCTATTAAGCAGGCCGAATGCAGGCAGCATCGGAGGAAGCTGGTGCAAAAACTGGACCAAGGTGGTCACGACCCTCAGTAATGAGGAAACGACAAAGAAGAAGAAAAATTATTTTTTGAGAGCTCATATAGCAAGGCTTCTGTGTGAAAAATTCCAATTAATTCTACGCAGTAGTTTTTGCCAACCAAAAACCATGGTTGGTGCCATTTTAAATATGGAGAGTGATAAGCAGCATTTTCGACATATCTTACTGTTTGACTACAGAAAGAGTAAAAATGCTATTCAAGCCAGAAAGAAATTGACCGATGTGTATGGAGAAGGTGTGTTGACAGTACGCCAGTGCCAGAACTGGTTCGATAAATTTCAAGCTTTATTTATGGGTTTCATTTTCACAAAAAAAAAACCCAATTACTTTCCGAGCAACCCAATAGTAACTCACCTCGCTCAAGATGACCCAATACTTGCTATCCGCGTTAACTCTCAGTCTGATCGCTTTGACCAGAGAGAATTCCTCCTCCACGTCGCCGTCTGCTAGTCCAAATTCATCGAAGTGCAGGATAGTAGTGAAGTTGTTGTCCCCGAAAGCCGGTAAAACCTCTACAACGGTGTTGTAAAACTGATCCGTGATATGTTCAGCATTCCCACTCCGGAACGTAACCCTGTAGGATAATTTGTGTTAGTATGATTAATGAGCACTAGTATTCTTTCTACAAAGGGATATGTATGCGGTTACAAATTGATCAAGAGATTATAACTAGTACTCTGTTAATCGTCGATAGGACGAAGAGATAAAGATTCGATTCTAACCTTAAGCACCAGCAAACAAACAAAAACCAAACTAATGCAATAGTGACGAGAAAAATCCAGTGTTTTTCTGAAGCGATCGTTATTCAATTACATTCCTTATAGACTATCTCTATATATTTATTTATCTATACTAATATTATAAAGAGGAAAGATTTGTTTGTTTGTTTGTTTCGAATAGGCTCCGAAACTACTGGACCGATTTGAAAAATTCTTTTTTCATTAGAAGCTGACATTGTCCCTGATGAACATAGGCTACTTTTGTTAAATTTTTTTTTTTTTTTTTTGCTTCATATGTGTTTTAATGTTTCCGAAGCGAAGCGAGGGCGGGTCGCTAGTTGTAGTAATAAGTTGAAGTGCGACTGGTTGTTGTGCAATTGATTAAATGGTTTTGTTCAAAGAGAAAAGTGAGTTCGTTATTATAAGTGAGAAGCGGGCACCTAGACATCACTTTGAAAGGATTAGTATCAATTCGTTTTGATTCTTAACAAAAGATTTTAAATTGTTGGTATTTTCTTCGGTTTTCGCGAATCTTAAATATAATTAAAACTACTTTTAAAACAACTAATAATTCAACAACTATTAAGTATTCGTAAAGCATGAGATTAAACGACAAATGTATAATTATAATAAATACGTTTGGTTAATTTACACAATTTGAACATAAGCATTTTTTTATTTATTTCAAAAACAGTTTCAGTTCATTTCAAACAACAAAAACTTAATATTCATTTGACACATTAGAAACATTAATTAATACGGAAGAACGATGTTTTCTTCTTCTTCTCATTCTACTCTAGATTGCTTCTGCACTTTCAAACATTATTACTCTTCCGGTTCCAACGTAGATAATGCTAAGTCGGATTAATTGACGCATTAGGTGTGTCATGGAAGATAGACACGACCCTAGACGTCAATTCATACGACTGAGCCACACCATGCTGATGCTGATGCTGACAGCCACAACTCACTGTATACACCATTAAACATAACATAACTCAAATCTAAAAAAAAAACGATGTTCTCTGAGATATGCAAAATAATCTGAGTGCTCTGAGGAATTGTTCGAGATGATACCGGCATCTCGTTTTTACCATCGCACCGCCCGCCACCGGAGTAGAGTACATCCATACAACCTGGAGCCACTGCGTTCATCCACAGTGCGTTTCCAGAGATTTTTTTTGCCACGTACCATCCGGCTATGGAATGAGCTCCCCTCCACGGTGTTTCCCAAGCGCTATGACATGTCCTTCTTCAAACGAGGCTTGTGGAGAGTATTAAGCGGTAGGCAGCGGCTTGGCTCTGCCCCTGGCATTGCTGAAGTCCATGGGCGACGGTAACCACTCACCATCAGATGGGCCGTGTGCTAGTCTGCCTAAAAGGACAATTAAAAAAAATCTTTTGTAATAGGTACAACTTTAAGATTAGCAAGTAATTATCAGTTAATTATAGTTCTTTAAATTTTAATTTATCGAAGCCATAATTATTATTTTGATTTTATCACAGTAAAATTACCGCGCCTCATTAATTCAGAGATAAATTTATTTCAATTATTTCTTAAAACATTAAACAAACGAAATATACCTACATTTACGGGCTTATTCATAATGAGCTATCGGATCTTGTTTGTTTCATTTGCCTATCGAAAATTCTATAATATTCTTAATTCACAAGGACATTCTAGAGCCTTGGTGACTAAAACACTTTTAAGCAACTTTGCGTTTAATTATGACTAAATCCGATAAAATAAGAGAAAATACATTTTTGCAACAAAATAGATTATTTAATAGCTACACACATCAAACAGGAATCATTATGAACTAGCCTAAATTTCATTAATAATGAAAACTTAAGAAATATTGTGTTCAAATTATCATTGACTAATAACATATATATTTGTGTGTGTGTGTGTGCGTGTGTATATTTGTATGTATATATATTGTTTTGTATCTTGTAATCTTCTAATATATAAAATTCTCGTGTCACAATGTTCGTTCTCATACTCCTCCGAAACCGCTTGACCGATTCTCATGAAATTTTTTATGCATATTCAGTTAGCCTGAGAATCGGCTACTATCTATTTTTTATACCCCTAAGTGATTAGGGTTGGCCACCCCTAACATATTTTTTTTATTTGGACATTTTTTTTGTTAGAATCAGGTATTATGTAGTTGAATGAGGTTTTGTTATTTTTATTATATATTTCCTCATCGTTCACAGCACTACATACCTCTTTCACTCATTTACCACATCCTTACACACTTACAATAAGTTAGTTTTTTTTTCTACACTAAAAATTCCCTAGAAATCTTATATATGGCAAAACAATGTTTGCCGGGTCTGCTAGTATATATATATTATTATAAGTAATGTTTATTGTATGCACTAGGTTTGTGTTCCTAATTCTTCTTTCCTTTTGCGGGCCTACTGGAAGAGATTTCAGCATGAAATAAGTAGTGCCCTTGTACTCTGTATCCTTATTGAAATGTCTTTTCTAACAGCTGTGTGCACAAAATATATTAAATAAATAAATAAATAAACATACAGGGTGTGGTGCAATAGTTCCCGAAGTTGAAAGAGTAGTAAACTAAATACATCTTTATTTAATTTACTACTCTATGTTTTGTCGGTACCACCACCTCACCTATTTCTTCCGTGAAGCAGTAATGGGTTTCGGTTTGAAGGGAGGGCAGTCGTTGTAACTATACTGAGACGTTAGAACTCATACTTCAAGGTAAGTGGCGTCTATGGGTTGTAGAACCCGCTTAACACCAGGTGGGCTGCGATCTAAGCAATAAAAAAAAAGGTGGGCTCCTCGCTGACCTTACGATACCTGTTTGAGTAATTTAATTTGTTGTTTAAAGCTATGTACATATTAACATTTGCAAGACAATTTCACGAAAATATAAAATTAATTAAAATAGATATATCGTAATAGAAACAAAATTTACGACACTACTTTTACGTTTTTTTTATCGCATTTGTTAACGAATGAGCATTGGCGCTCACCGGACGATCATCACGACGGATCATCAACACCAGCAGTGTCAGAAGCATAACCGAGCCGTTGCCTACTTCAAAAGTATTTGTAACTAGTTCTACAAAGCTTAGACATGACTAGAGGGATTTGTAACAATAAAAAAAAAACCGTCAGAATACCTACTACTCATAATTGTTGAGTTAATTGGATAAAAAAAAATTACGTACGATGAGAGATTAAAACATCACTACGGAAACAAATAAAAGGAGTAATAAAGAACGCTAATCGTGTTAATATTACAATAAAAAACAGAAGCTACATATTTTTTAAATTTAGAATAAAATCGAGCAGATATCTGTTAGAACATAATATTGGTGCAGCCGCTAATGAGGAAATGGTTTGACATACGTCTGATCCCGTACTCATAGTTCTGTATTGAGATGGAAAACACGTTGCTGTGGACCAACAAAAAACCTTGTCAAACTTGTAAGCGTCCAATCTTCGATTTTCTTGATATCAGGTACAACACACCGCAACAATTGAAGAAATAGCGTAACGTATATTTGGCCCATGTACCACTATTTTTGACAAAACTCGAAAAATAACTGGTTTGGGACCAAACACAAGATAAACCTTAAAATCTCGCAGAGAAGCCTCGCCGGACTGAAAATCTACATAGGACAAAGCCCACAACTGATATCAGATTATGAGGAAGCTTTGCTTGCGGTAATATAGACTAAGACTATTTCGAGGCAGCAAATAAATCGACAAACGAACTATGTAAGCATTGTCTAAGACAAAATTTTGCAGAACGAAAAACCTCGAAAACCAAATAACAAAACAAATTATTCACCACTAACACAGCTACTAAATCGATTGTAAAATTAAATGCTTAAATTAAAGGCCAATGAAGTAATTTTTATCGAAATATTACAACTTATTCCTTTTTATTGTTATTAGGACTTTAAAACTCAATCGAATTTCTTGTTTCCCTCCTGCATTTCAAACTAACTTCCCCTAATTCCTATCCTGAGAACTTGAGTATTTGTTGTGTAGTTCAATTCACAATAGTTGGCGGTAGTTCTTTTGACGTTCAACAAGTATGTACTTTCATTTATGTTGAATAAATGTTTTTTGAATTGATTTGATTTGATTTGAATTACAGTTATACAACTATAACAGCGACGCAACTTTCACATTTTCCAGCTTGATGAATAGAATATCCGTTATTCAAATGCAATCAAGAATTTCAGTTGAGATCTTGTCGTGACATTAGCTATTTTGTGGTGTGACTTATATTTTAACCGCCACACTTCAAGTGAGTGAGCCTTCTTATTAATTTATTTGAAGTTTGTAGTAAATTTGCATCGTACTTATTGAGTTTAAAGCCCCTCTAAGCAAAGCCATAACTGAAAAATATCTACTTTATGTGGCAACGAAATAACTATATTTAAAATATAATACCAGCCTATAATCGCCTCAGTACTGTTCCAATGATAGTGTCAGTGGTATAGCTGTGGACTCTGTTCAAGAATTACAGAACAATTAAGTCACTACACCCAAAGATTATTGAATCTAAAACTGATTTATGCCAAAATAAGTATTAAAAAATACTTATACAATTCAATTACGCTCTAGAATAAATACGTATAAAGTAAATATGAGTCCACTACTTTCTTAAAAACTAAATCTAGTTGTAGTCTTGTAGTTTGTCGTTATGACGTGGAACTGCGAAGGCAATTGACGAAACAGCATCACGTATATTTGGTACCCTTCAGACCATTTTGTACGAATACCGAAAACAGTAAGTAAGGGACCAAACACAAGAGAAGCTTCAGAAGACAAGAAAAATCTTGATGTAGGTACTGAAACAATGTCTATTCCCCAAATGAGTATTCAAATCAGGATATATTATATTACTATCAGGATATATCGCATCACTACTATGGACTAAGCTGCTCTAAAAGCAAAAGAATAGAAACAAAATGCCCTGACAAAGGAGATGATAGTCAAATCAAAAATTCGAAAGCCAAACCGATGAGATGACATTCTCTTGTCCTAAATAGAGACCAAATTGTGAGTTTAGAACACAATAAGTAAGGAGGTTCTTAAAATCTTTGTTTCGAGTCTGTTGTGGATTTGAGTATTTTTGTGTAATCACTTCACTCTTAAAGTTTATTTTTGCCACGTACAGTTTGCCTCTGAAAAGAGATCTATTCACTTTTTTTGGGTGCCATGCTTTAAAAGGTCCTTGAGTTGAAAGTAGTAGCTGACATTAACATTGTTCATGAGTAACGGTGACCATGCTCGATAAGGTGGACCATGTGCTTTCATTGCCTATGAAACTATTATAATCGGCCACAGTCGCATCATCTTTTAAATTTTATATAGCAATTTTTATTTCAAAGAATACGATTTTATGGTATCATAAGTAATATTTTGATGCATTTCGTGTTGTAGTTCCAAAATAAAATCAAGGAACGCTAATCACAAATTTATCCATACAAGAAATGGCCTGAATAAACAAATAGTAATGCCAAGTAATCTAAAATAAAATATTAACCGACTGATACAAGCAGACGTTTGTAAACGTAGTACCTAAGTGCGTAGCGCCTAATAAGTGCAAGTAACTAGTGAGTGCAAGTAACTAGTGAGTGCAAGTAGCTAGTGAGTGCAAGTAACTAGTGAGTGCAAGTAACTAGTGAGTGCAAGTAACTAGTGAGTGTAAGTAACTAATTAGTGCAAGTAACTAGTGAGTGTAAGTAACTAGTCAGTATAAGTTACTAGATTTTATCGCAACAATCTGCAAACAATTAGATCATGACGACGCCTAATAAGTGCAAGTAACTAATGAGTGTATGTTACTAGATTTTATCGCAACAATCTGCAAACAATTAGACCATGACAGCTCCTAATAAGTGCAAGTAACTAGTGGGTGTAAGTTACTAGATTTGATCGCAACAATCTGCAAACAACTAGACCATGACAGAGTATTCATACATAAACGAAACAAGCCTAAATCTTCTTCTACACTTTACAAAACAATAATAATCAAAATATATCTCGTTACGTATTTCATAGAATACAGCGCAGTTTGTGAAAAAATAACTTTGTTCTCATATTAAGTGTTTTGGAATTACAAAACCCTTGTTAATAGATCAAACATAATTGATATTTTTTTAATAATTAATTGTGTGATCATAAATATACATACATATTATAGTTTATTTATTATTTAACTATTTATTACAGTTATTAGTCAAATCATAACGTTGAATTATAGTTACGATCTAAAAAAAATAAGTAAAAGTCATAGATATCACCCGTACGCACTGCAAATGTCTACATGTGCAACTTCTAAGTTAAGAACCGGCAGGTGAACGCGTAATATGATTGTGAAATATGGATAGATATCATTTTAGAAGTAAATATCACCTTTTTGCAAGTAAATTGATACAAGAACCAAATGATGCATAGATAAACTATAGGAGGTACTAAACAACCATCGCTTACAAAAAATATAGTTCAAAAAACAAAGAAATGGATTTTTTTTATTAAATTAGATATAATTTGAGCACCTTTATTTCAACGATTAAATATATCTCATATTAATAATTATTAGTAGATATTCTCGCTGATTTCGACCTATGTTCTTGGTTTACTAGAATATGAGATCCACAATAAAGCTCTTCTAATTATTTGAAATCTACGAAATTCTATCGTATTCTTTGTGAAAATTTAGATAGGTATATAAAGCAGAAACAAACAAATATATACATATATTTAAAATGTCAATGTCAATAATATTAATTAGGCATTTAGGTGTTTTCCGAGCGCTATGACATGTCCTTCTTCAAACGAGGCTTGTGGAGAGTATTAAACAGTAGGCAGAGGCTTGGCTCTGCTCCTGGCATTGCTGAAGTCCATGGGCGACGGTAACCACTTACCATCAGGTGGGCCGTACGCTCGTCTGCCTACAAAGGCAATAAAAAAAAGAAAAAAATTATTAATATTGAAGATAAATGATACAATATTTTTAAAGATCGTTTAGAAATTCTTAGAATGAAGAAGTAAAGGATAAGAAACTATACAATAATTTAAAGAAAATCAACGCGTACTATCTGTTTTGAATTTTCGATGTTATGTACATAATAAACACTATTATTTAACATGTACTCCGCCACCCTTATCACATTTAGTAAGTCTTATGTTTCGGCATGTTGCTTACGCCATCACGGCCACACTAAATACTAGAAAGAGCCCATTAAATAATAGTGATAATAGGGCGTTTCTTACAAATTAATTGAAACAAATTTGAATGAAACTTAATTTTTATAAAGCAGTGTAATGGAAAACAATATTAACAGAATTAAAAAAGTTGATTTTGAAAAATAAATTTACCGATAATTACGAACATCTTCATCATACTGGCTTCACTGTTTTTGACTTTTAATTGGGTTTTAGTGTGTATTATAGTATATTATTATTATCTCTCTTTCTTTCTCACACTATAACTTAAAAAAAACCATGTGAGGCAATCGGGGACTGCCGCGGTAAAGCTATTGCATAGCATTTTTTATCAACTTATGCAATTATAATTAGACAATAATAATTTAATTTTAAAACAATAATAAAATAAAACCACGCTTTATTTTTAAACATTAACAAAAGCAAAACATTAGCTGTCCCCTTCACACACTCATAAGCTAGACCACGCAAGAGAGAGATGGGCAGACGCGCTATGAGCGATGTTGTATGCGAGCTACATGGTAGGCGGAGTGGGGGGGAGGGGTGTTAGGTTTTATTTTCGTTACGGAATTTCTTTATTCGGTCGCCGCGATCAAAGCCCGCGATAAAAGCTATGCAATAGCTTAAAACGTTCGTTATTATCAGTTTCGTATTTTTTGCGTAGTGTCCAATTTTGTGCATAGCCGTTTGCATTACAAGCATAAGTATTTCACAGAGTATTTTTTGTTTGTTTGGAATCTGTTACGGCTCAATAATAATTTGATTGCGTGCATTACTGCAAATGACATTTTACTCATTTAAAGCGCGAACGATCTTCTTATTCCGTTTGGAATGAGCTAGACAGATTACGTTCTATAACGTTAATGAATATCCTACCTTTTAATCTGCAGTGGTCTTCCGTACCAAAACTCTAGAGTATCTCCTTTCTTGGGTTTTTTGCCCCAGAAAAAATCGATTCCCTCATAAGCGTTCTGGATACTGTGCTGGTAGTAATCCTCGATTGTTGTCGTGATCTTTTGCACTGGCGGATTCTGGTGTGGAAAATACGACTGGACCTTGCCAAACTGCGGGTCCTGAAACAAATTATTTATTCTACAACTTGAATATGAAATAAATTATTGTCAGCACTTTTTTTCTACAGAAGAAAATCGCCGGATACCCATCCGCACGGCGGGCGGGATATGTGGTAGTTGAACCTCACTAAAAACTCCTGCTGCTTACAGCCGGCGCCCTACCCCGGACAGGGCCGAAGCCTAGTCGGAGCTATTGAGACGGCGGGACAGGGCTTACGCAGAGCATATTACATCCATCTTATTGTCAGTGCTTGCCTTTGTTTAGTTTTGTTTTATTGTGAGCACATCTTTAGGCAGGTGTCAATTCCAAACATTATCGAGAGAAATGAGCTCGACTTCTCATCGGCGCAATTAAGAAAAACACATCACGTCATATCCCTTAATTGTGTTGTATAAGGACTGCTATCAAACCTAAAGGCATGACTATTTCACAGCATAATAAAATTGTGGTAGCTACTCGCCTTTTGGTGGCGACAAATGCGTTATGTTAGCCACGAGTCCTGGGAACTATTTAATACTAGAGAGGCTCGTTCGTCTTTCAAAACAATAAAAAATGTAGTAAGTTACAGCAATAACGATTGCCTGAAATTAATGACTGCAAAACTGTAAAGGCTTGTAGCGGAAGCCTCATTCCCACGTTCCATTATTTTCTACGTAACCATTAATTAATTACAAGCGTTGCTGCACAAGCTTTTAATGAGGGTCCTACATTGTTAATTGCGAGTGGCAACAGTGACGTGTAACTACGACGATATTGTAGCCCATCCAATGGATACTATTTGATCCTCGTTTTAAGTCATTAAAACTTAAGATTTTTTAAATCTATGTTTGATTCGTAACACAGCCTAATATATTATTTACCGATAAAATGCAATACAAATCCTCAAAGTGCTGAGTAGTCGCCCTATACGGAAATATATTAACATATCTCGAGTTGGGTGGCGGCATTTACGTTGTAGATGTCTATGGGCTCCGGTGACCACTTAACACCAGGTGAACTCGTCTACACTACTAAGTAATAAAAAATAAAAATAAAAAAACGTAACGGAATGCAAAGTTCAAATTTTAGTTGCCTTAATTATGATACTGTTGTGGTTTGTTATTTGTTCTTCGTATTGATATTTTCATTCGGAACATATAAAAGTCAAACACACTATTTCAATAATGTCTATAATGTTCAGATTCAGATGTGTCCAATATTAAAATATAAACATATAAACTCAGAAAGAGTTCAGAGAACTCAGAAATATTTAGGGCGGCAAAATTTTGAAAGTGAATATTTTTTTTTAGTCTTATGAAAATTGCTCAATGTAATTAATTAATTCTATTAATTAATATTTTTTTGTTAAGTTGATAATTTAACAAATTCAATTCATTATTTGTGAATTATAATTTGGGTTCAAAATGATTTAATCAATTTATTTCCTTGGACATTTAAAATAATAATCGATTTTTCTATTTTTTTTGAATTAAAGAAATTTAATTAGGTTTTTTTATGTAATATAATTATGAGTCACCATTAGTAACTGTTAAAGGAAAAAATAATATTTATGTTTTTGGAATATATAATATAACATATGATAACGTTTCTGCAATCAATTAGTTATTTTAATTTTGAAAATAAAATATATAAACTATAAGCTAAAGTAAAATTCCAGTATTGGGGCGGATTTTTTCCGGTGCCCAGGAGCGGCATTAAGTTTAAGTCCAGCCCTGTCCAGCCTCTACACTGCTTAAATTTCCTTTCCATAGTTTCGGATTCAGTCATCATATTAGCTGTTTGTTAACCTGTTATAAACGCGATATATTACCTGAACCTTCTGTATCTTTCCCTGTAGCGAGGAGTATACACCGATGTGCTGGAACAGCGAGACCTTATACCGTGGTCGGACGCGGAGTTTGCTTTCAGCACACGATTTCTACGAAGAAACAAAACGTTATTATTGTGTACTGCACGTGTACAATGTGTAAATTCACGGCTAATACAGCAACCGTGGTTTTAATGTCACCGTAAATATTATTATGTGACGCAGTATGTAATATATTTTTTTGTGCTGGCTAAGTCACGTCGAACATATAAATAAGGATTGGCGAATTAATGAAGCATAAATGAGGCACTGGCTGGTACGATTGATAACGATGGTGTGATGCGATGCAGGCTGATTTGCGCAAATATCAAGCCAAAAGCTGGAAAAAGTGGGTGAAAAGAGGTCGGAAATAATGACGACATCTCATGTAGCCCAAGCTCCACTGTAGTTGGACTAATTAGTCAGTAAGTGAGATTTTTGTTACGATTGCAAAGTTCAACGTCTTGTTTTCTAATTCTGTTAATTTTAACGTAGTATGTAACGTATTGATGTAGAGATAGATCCCTCATACAAAATCTGAGGTAAGTTTAGCCCTTGTAAACGCCATGTAATGGAGCCATTTCTTCAAAGTATTTCAATACTGAATTTTCATTTTATTAAAACGAAAACTAATTTTAATATTCTAGTACCACAATGATATACAATTACTGTGTTAGCTTCCTTAATTTTAAATCACGAAAGACATGCAATCCGTAAAATCTCTTTTCCCTTCCAAAATTTCGACACAAGCCGGTCATTCGACGTTTTCATCATTTAAATTATTTCTCAAAGAATTAAAATTCATTAGCTTGAAGGTAAATCACTTTCTATTGTTTGCATTTTATGACTTTTATTATATAAATCCAAAAGCTATGTTTGTGTTGAAAATGTATGAAATACATAAACAATAAAAAAATACACATTCATTCTACAAATATAATACATAATTTTGATAGTGTTGTCCGTGTAGAGTTTAGATACTAAAACGTATTTAGAATGATTTTTTTTAAAAAAAGACACACAATTAACATAAAATAAATAAGGTAGACGTTGTGAAATAGGGGAATATGATAGATGATAACATAATAGGGGAATATGATAGTTTAATAACAAGTAGCAATATATCAAAACATTTACTGAAATCTGAAATGTTTTCCAACTGCATAACAACGAATAAACTAATTAATAATTTAAATCGTTAACATGACAAACTTTATAAATCTAAAGAGAAAAAATAATTTTAAAACAAGAAAAATAAACGGAAAATTACGTAAGCAAGATCAGCGACACAAGGGAATTCCCTTAAAACATTCCTGTTGCAAAAGACATTGGCGACGTGACACGAATTATATTTATATTTAACACAGCAAGGTAAGTTCTTTCTACAATACACTAAGCGGCTCGCGTTTTATTGCGCCTTATACATAGAAACGATTTCATTGAAATCTGTTGAAAGGACACTAATAACTTACAACATATTTTTAGGAAAAATGAATGCTCACAGGCGGGAAACACCAAAGGCATACTAAGCTAACATTGCATATGGAACATCAAGGTTCATTCTTTTCAAGCAAATTTACCTTCTCTAAACGTTTATACTTTTTAGCGGCCGCTGGACAGAGCTGTGAATGAAATAATACTTTCAATGTGCATCAACATAAGTGCTGATTTGCAATATCAAACAAGTGGAAGATATACGCGTTTATGTTATTTGTACAACAATAATCCGGATATAATGCGATTAAAGCCAACGATGCACTAATTTATATACTGTATATTGAAATGCGTGGTACTATTTTAATTTAGTAAATTTAGCGCAAATGGTGCAATTAAAAGTGGATTCAAATATATTGCCAATATAAAATTTCTGTTTAAAATCTGTTTCAAAATACTAATAAAGTAACAAATGTTACTATCTTATATTATTTTCTTTTACGTTTAGTAATAATTATAGTTCCCCGTGCTAGCCTCAGTAACCGTAATTATTTGTTACCTCCAGCTATCACTTATCACTGCAATTTAGACTTTAAATCAAACCTCAAAAGGTTCTCCTTTGTTCCTTTGGACGTAAATATGTACTTAAAATCATCATTGCCATCAAACACAATAATATGTTACAATGTAGATTTAAAATTTTTTGAAGTTTTAAATCGTCTAAAATCCAGTATAAATAGAAATAATGGACGTATAATATACACGCGGGGAACGTCCTCCCCATATTTCGATTTCAATACCCAATCTCAACTTCAGTAAGAAACATATAGAATGATGACTAATAATTGTAAATAAAGGACTATTCGATATTTCTTTTAAATTTATTATTCAAATTTCTAACACACAGGGCTTGAGTCCAGTGGGCATCATGAAAAGTAAAAAAATCTTTTTCTACAATTACAATTTGGAGCAAAGTACAGAATGATTATTCCCTGTTGCCAAACAATTTCGGAAACGCTAAATCCGAAATTTAAATTTTACCATAAGCTCGCGATGTTTTTAGCATTACTGTGAAACGTCGTGGTGTCTACTCACAGACTTTTTGTCAATAGAACAGACACGATCGGCCAAATAGCTCTCCAATAGCCAGTCTATGGGCATGTTGCTGTAAAATATCTGTGAGTACGTCACAAAAGGCAGTAGATCCCTTGTTCTGAAAACTTTTCCGATGGCGCCGACCTGACAGAATTCAATGAAAATCCAGTGAGGGGTCTTTTCAGTCGTAGTCTCAATGTAACCTTTCATTTCCTGAAAAAGAAAAACAAGTTATCCAAAAGGTCATAAGACCAATACGTTTTGCAATTCAAACTTTAAACTAAAAAGTAAATGACAACTACTAATAGGTTATTAATGAAATAAATTAGTTCTATACTCCAAAAGAATCAACACACAAAAAAATATTAATGTTTTCAAATTTACACGAATAGCGACAGCAGCAATAGATTTAACATTAGCAAAAAGCACAGAATCAATTCGCAATTCTAAGTTAGCCGCATCGCGCAGCACATTCTCTTTTTTCTACCAACCGGTAAGAAATCTTTTTTAGTTGTAACATCATCTTCCAGCATCAGATAGTAGACTCCCTTGCCAATAGCGTAGGCCATAAGATAGATGTTGTCCAAATTCTGTTTGGTTCGCCACATGGCTCGTTTCGGGGAATCACCAAGAGTCGGACACAAATCCTCAAGTTCTGGGTAGTAAGCCGGACTTGGTGCTAGGATTTCGATGACACCGTCACTAATTTCTCTTGGAAACCTAAAAGTCAGTCCTGATTGAGGCATTCCGCAATTAAATAAATACAACAAGCGATCTATCTTAGGTAACAAATATATATATATGTATGTTGTATCTATACTAATAGGAACTAGCCAGTGAAAGCCTTGGGTTTCCTTTTATTTGGCAAACTCAAATTGTGAAAGAGGAGGTGGACGTGCGCTAGAATTTAAAATGAAGCTTCATGCTTTGACAAAACTCCTGCAATAAATCTTTTGAAAATTCCACTGCACACGACACTTAACGTGTCTGGCGGAAATTTCCCTGTTCAAACATTCTGCTCGAGAATTTATGTCCGAGATAAAATATTTTCATTCGCTCAATTTACAATGATTTTATTTGAGATGAGTGTTGAAGGTGGATACATTATTCCGTTTCGATCCAAATGAATTATTGAACCAGGGCTATATTATCAACCATATTTGTCAAAACGAAATGTGTAAAATATAGATGAAAATTTGTATATGCTGATCATTTAAATAGTTCGATAAAATCTTACAAATTATCTAGACCCACTTTCAAAAACCGGAAATTTCCTTTTCCTTTATCATTTGAAATCGTCAGTTATTGATTAAAGCAATTTTTTTTCTATGTTCTGACTATAATATTTGTTTGGGCTGATTCGGTGAGAGCTAAATATTATTGGTAAATACGTATTTTCAGATCCTAATGTAGTTTTAACTTATAGGGAAACCACGTTACTGCAATTTTATAGACCATGGAAGATACCCATCTAATTACAAATTATTTACAGAATTATTATTATCATTAATAGAACTAAATGACTTTTGAACTTAAATCATTTCGATTTGATTACTAAAAGTTCGACCAAAACAAAGTTATCCGTAATTTTGAAAGAGACTTGAAGAAAAATACTTGATGTATTCCGATTAGTCTTTAGATATTGTGGTGATTGATGATGAATATTGTGGAGATACTGGAGCTTTATTATTCATGGAAAAATTAAGATGAAAAATAACATGATCAGCAAAACTAAGGAGCTTTAGTAACCGCTAGGCAAGGAGCAGATTGTTTCAAAATAAAATAAATGCAACCACAACAACGTTAAGTAGGATACAATAAGCTTTATAGTTTTACAGCTTATGGAACTTACATTATTTCTATCTGTCTAGCCAGTTTCAGTATGTAAGTTACGTCAGGCTCACCAACTAAGATAACGATGACGACTGATCTTTTGTCTTCCGCTGATAGTGCCTTAATGAGATACTGAAAGTGGGGGGCGGGATCATTAAAAAACCGAAATTTCTTAAAACAATACAAAATGAAAAATAATGTTACTCTGATCAATTTGTAACAAGAAACAATTTTATCGTTCAAGATAAAAAAAAAATGGTGCGCGTGCAATTTGGTGCACGTGAATGAAGTGAAACTTCTTTTTCGATGTGTATGTAGTATTGTGGTTTTCTTCATTTTTCATCCTTAAATCAGATTGCTCTTGTAATAAGGAATGCTGTGTATAAGAGTTGCGACCTCTTCAACATTTATATTATATATCTATATATTTTAAGTTATACAGTCGGATTCAAGGGTGGGGCAGCCGTTGTAACTATATTGAGACCTTAGAACTTATATCTCAAGGTGTGTGGCGCATTTACGTTGTAGATGTCCATGGGCTCCAGTAACCACTTAACACCAGGTGGGCTGTGAGCTCGACCACACATCTAAGCAATAAAAAAAAACATAGAAAAAAATATTTTTTTAATACTTCATTAAAATATTGGACGCTACTCGTTGCTAATGATCGCGCTGGCCTGTAACAGGTATACTATGCGCCTGCATTCGAGGGCCACGCATTCACTCTCGCTCTGTCTGTTTCTGTTCCATGGTAGCGTTAAGCGTTTAACGCAACCATGTTGGAAGTCGAATTAGAAGTTTCACTTCAATCATCACGATATCATATTTATAATAATAAATACCGTCAAAGTAGTGAAGAGGTATGTCTGTTTATCTCTCTTGACAGTCGGTATTCCGATGACAAAATCCATGTAGTGTCTAGCGCCGGAGAGATGATAAAGGGGCCATAAGCTAAACGGGTCATTGAGCAAGTGAGTCAGAATTTGGACGAGAAACGGCAACTGCATGCGGTGGATGTACCTTGGCTGCAAACCGTTCAGTACTCTGGTCCCTAGTGACAATAGAGTTTTTTTTTAAATCGTTAAATATGTTAATACGCCATGCTGCGCTTCATGTTTGATCAATCAAGATTACGAAAAATGTTCTGTGAATATCAGGGTGATTGATAATAATACAATTCTATTTAAATGTTAAAATTTAACAAAAAATAAGAGGTCAAGAATATGGCAGAATAATAATAAAAAAGGTTTTTTTTTGTAATCATATTAATGAATTGCGACTTCAATCAGATTCTTAAGGCTTCATCAAACAGAGCGCGTAATTAGCGCGCATCAGAGCGCTAAACAGACGGCACGCTATGACGCCGAGATGTGTTGTATTACTATGGTAACATACCGTCAAACAGAGCCCCAGCGCTATAAGTAAGAAAAGAGCGCGACGTTAAAACGCAACGCTAAGTACGCGTTCTGTTTGACGAAGCCATTAATAGTAATTGTATTTCAATTATTTTTATTCAACAGCGCTTCAGTTAGTCTGATTAATCATTTAATCTTATTGAGTTGTATAAAAAAAGACCATCCGTTACTAAGAAAGCTTTGTGATTCAAATAGATTAACAATTATGGTGAGATTTTTTTTCACATTTAAATCATAATATGTTTATATTTTTTTTGCATCTATTATCTGATTTATTTTTGTTATAGCTTGTGGGGTACTTGGAAAAAAAAGAATACTTCGTGACGTCATATGCGAGCGAGATATTTGCAGTACACATCCTCTCTTCTGTATTGAGATTTTGATAACTAGCTACGATGTCTTTTCTACTATGTAGATTTTATGAGTATTACAAATTTACTACTGGAAGAGTTAGAAAAATAGATTGGCAAAAATTCTTAATGGCTAGGGCGATAGATGGCAATTAGAATTGTTTTTAGTCAGTATTGATCGATGCGTTGAACGCCAAATGCAGAAAGTGACTTAAAAACGTAACCGTCTTATTAATCATTAGTAATTATAAATTTAATTTTTGATTATTATATGCGAGGATGGAATCATATTTATTTGCTATTTAATCGAGGAGACTATAGTAACTTTTAAAAAAAATCATTTAAACATGATTATTAAAAAAAAACATTTAAACATGATTATTTTTTATTAAAAAAACTTCTAACAATTTTTTTTTGAATAATGGAAATGCATTTTTTGATATTACTAATTAAATCTTTAAATTCCTCACAACTAAAATCAATTTACACGTGTGTATCAATTCAATATTATTTTTATGTGTTTAAAACTTAAATTTACATTCGTAAGATTTTTATGAACACGATTGATGGCTTTTATAAAATAAATGAAACGAATAATCATTAATCGTGTAGCTATTATTTTTAAATTCAGGCCAAATTTAAAATATTGACGCGTACCGACCGATTTTTAACGTTGTGTGTATGAAAAATTAAATTTTATTATTACACAGTGTAACTATACCGCAATGCGCGCATTCGCCTTTACACAGTCCATAAAAAATCACATTACATTTTCGCTTTTCATTAACTGACGCCAGAAGGTAATCAAGCAGCTTAAAATCATCGCCCATGCCATTAACAGTCTCAGTACTCGATAAGAATAATAAAATATTTAGTGATATGCATATGAAAGGAACAGAACTTACCTGTCAAGTTGTGTATCATGTTCATTGCTTCTTCACTGTAGCCTGGAGGATATGGCGCAGTCTCTTTCGGAAAGTTATAGGTAACTGGTTTTACCTGAAAATTAATTCTATTTAAATGAACATTCAAATAATTCGACCAGTGCCGCTAAACATGCATAAAATCTAAAAAAAACAAACATACATTTAACACCTGTACATACATATCAACATTTACATATCTCATCTACATATCTTATATCTCTAGTTTCGTGGAAGGGCAGGACAAATCTGTCGCTAAAACGTGCTACGTAGGTACATAGGTGCAAAAATCTAATCTGTCTATTTATCGTTCGAAACGGCTCTGCTTCCCAATTTCAAAAATGGGTCAGCTGCACAACATTACGAAATTTCCACTTAGTGTGGCAAGACGGATGGTCGCATTTACCTTGTAGTGTCTGTAGACTCGGTGAATACAATAAACTTATCAACGTATCTAGAGCAAGCAATAAGAAGGCCTAACGAAAGTAGCTCCCTAGTTAGTTCTCAAATTGACAGTGAGCTAAAGAAGCCAGGACGGATATGTTCAATACCTAATTACACCTACACTATCTCCAAGAAGCTTGGTATGGTATACTGGTAGGATCTCTTATTTGTCTCCACGTTATCCCACTAGGTGGGGTCGGCACAGCGAATTTTTCTATTCCTTCTACCTTTAACTACCATTTCTATACATCTTCAAGTCATACGCATCTAATCTCTGCGCATTACATGTGCATACCACGCTAACCACGTATAGTATGGTATTCTAGGATGTCACTAGGATAGTGGCTCGGATATCACTCTTAAATCTGCATGAAGTCTATAATCAATGAATTCTATTATTTATATTTTCTCTCACAGTTAAGCTGATCAAACGAACAAACATCATATGAAATCAACTTTAAGCTCAATTCAAGATGTGCGACGACTCTAAGCAAAATTTTATATCAGGTCAGGATCGGCATCGGGACGCCTCTGATCCCAATCATCCCTGAACCAGTTGATGGGCTGCCTAGAAGTTCAATAACCTACCAATTAAACTCCTAGACCTCAACTGAAAGTACATGATCCTGACAAAAAGAGGCGAAAGCCTACTGAAAGTATTCGATTATTGGTACACCTAGGATTTGTTGAGTATGGACCACAATAGACTAAGGGTCTAAGTTAGAGTCCCGACGGAAACTATTAGTTGCGAAGCCACTTAAACAAGTAGGTCCTTGCAGCTGATCCAGTCTGTAGGAATGGCGAGGAGGTGGAAGAAACTCTTCTTGGTGTACTGTGGCTTAAAATATACGCGGTCCTTAGTTCTGTAGCCTAAGTAATCAGATCTGATAATATATTTATCACACACATATAGACACTCAGTACAGCAAACAAAAATTCTATTCTACGTAACATTTTTTTAAACCTTTTCGTGTCTCGATGGCTTTGAGGACAAATCTGATGACCGCCATATTCTTGAACGCCCTCCTCTAGTTAAAAAGCCATTAAGATTCTAACACACAGTAACAACAACAACAACAAAACAGGCAACACGAAAAGAGATACCGTGATAAACTATATTTAAATTATCTTAGAGACCGAATTGAGAAAAAAATAGAATAAAAATGTATTTCTTACTTGAACAGTCCTTTGGGTTTTTTGTGCTTTAGATGACAATTCATTAAGCGTCACACACGTTTAAAAACCTTTTGCACTAATCGTTTTTAAATTTTCATTCATACGGTGATCTCTTGTAAGACAGGCGTGTGTCAGCCTCAAATACTAACGTGAGATATTTAATTATTGTTTTTAAACAGACAGATCTACATAAACTTCGCTTAGTCAATATTTGATGACTCTCCTACTTTAGTACGATATTTACATTATGACTGAAATGAAAACGTAACGTCAAGTCACACGAGTTGATACCACCATTCTTACTTATCTGCCGCGAGACGCTTAAGCGTTTTTGGATTGTAGGATGACAACAATTATATGTTGAGTTAATATAATATTGAGATTTTGACTACGTTCTCATCACGGAAAGCGGTATTCATATTGTAAAATCTAAGGCACTAAGGTCTAACCAACAAGTATAATAAAAAGGTTTTAGACATAGGTGTGTATTTAAATTAATAAATAATAAATAAAAAAAATAATAAATAATAAATAAAAAATAAATTAATAAATAATAATTTATATCAAACCTAACTTGAGATACTGAATGCAGACAATAAATTATTATAATTTAAAGATGTGTATTAACTGGATATCGGAGATCTATTATTATTTAAATGAAATGCAATAGAATTATGATTAGACAGAAATGGCTGAGTGGTATTGTCTTCTAAAACGCGTCTCTTGGACGTTGTCTTCAGACTTAGCGTAGTTAATGTAGATCTTAATGACATCAGTAGTCGTTATGCTCGCCACATGGACTGCAATAGATTTATTCATTACCATGATTTTAAAATCGGATTCTAACTTAGCTGAAACACGTCTGTCAATCAAACGGAAGCGAGAGGATAGAACGTGAATGTGATAAATTTAAAAAGTGAATTGCTCGTAGGAATTGTAAAATGTGTATGTGTATATTGAGGTGATTATCATTTCGCTTCAGTTGTAACACACAGGCACGGCTTACCAACAGGGAAACAACTTCCCTATGCCTTACTCGATATCGGACTTCAAAGTTGTTCAATTTCTCCTCTAGCGATGTTATTTTTTTTGCCATCGACTCATTCTGCGCGCTATGGGCTGCGGAGAAGAACAAAAACTTCATCTCCACACATTTTGGATGCTGTGTTCGTCGGATTTTTATGCAATTGCGTCGTTTGGGATTTAATAATTTTTCACGTGTCATTGGTATCTTGATTACAGTAATTTAAATCAACAAATAAAATTATAAGGCTTTAACACCGTGACGCTTAAATATAAGTTAATTTACCGTTAACAATAGTGGCGGATGAAAGGTGATTGCATGCAGCAGAGATGCGAATATTACGATGGATGTGTGGAGTAACGAGAATGGATAGAATACGGAATGAATATGTTAGAGGAAGTCTGAAAGTGGCACCTGTGACAGAGAAGCTGAGGAGTGCGCGTTTGGGATGGTATGGACATGTGATGAGACGAAATAAAAATGAGGTTGGTAAGAGAGTGTTGACTATGAATGTGGAAGGATACAGAGGAAGAGGTAGACCTAAGAAGAAATGGATGGATTGCGTGAAAGACGATATTGGTAAGAGGGGAGAGAGCGAAGAAATGGTATATGATAGAATGTATGTAATAGTATGGAAGGAGAAAACATGTCGCGCCGACCCCAGGTGACTGGGAGAAGGGCAGGATAATGATGAATGATGACCGTTGTAAAGTTAACTAATTCATCGCCCTCAGTAATCGAATTATTTCGGAGACTCACATCACTGTAGTATTGACCATCTCCAAATATATTTATTTGATCCTGATTTATAAATACGTCCCGATGTTGATTACACTACAGGGCTGCACGAATATTAATTGATGAATCGCAATGAAAAGTAGCCGATTTAAATAACAACGTGCTTATGGCATTAATATTTGGTCCGTTGTAATACGTATATAGGCTGATGAACGCACGCAAATTTAAACCCGCTGCGTTGTTCAAAGCGTTCATAATAAATGTTTATTTTACGCAAATATGTTTCAGTTCTGTTCTATATGTGTACGTATTAATATTAATGGAATTAACCAATTCTATATGTTACTATTTACTGTGTAACAAATGATTACAGTACATTTTATTATAATCAATTGAACATACTTCGACGAACTAATAAACATATCCATTTCAAAATCAAACCAGCCAAACGTATTTGTATTAAATATCTAAAATAAAATTGAAGATAGTTTTGAAGACTGACCGGGGGATTGCTTCGCTTAAAGAGAGACACGTCAAAGAGTCAAATGAGATATTACTTCAGAAAACGCACTTTGCATAGGAGTGGAGAGTGAACTTGAACTTCCACGACGACAAGTGAAGCTACGTTAAAAAGTTAATACTATATTATTATACTATATCGAAACGCTCCACAGAATACCACGGCATATTCTCGTATATTATACACACAATGTGACATTAGTAAAACATATTCAGACAGATTTGAATTCTCATCGTAATACCGATCGTTCGTATTCGCCTGAACGAGATCCCCAATAATTCGGAGAGCTCATTCCTGGAGGTATTCGAATGGTATGCAAGCTATGCAAGTAGTCCGTAGACTCGCTCCAGAGGCGAGAGCAATACAGGAGACGCGGTTCAACGCCCTATTAAAGTAAAAATTTTACGTTATTTTAATCTTCAATAGAAACAGACATTAAAGAATAGTTTCTTAAGACTTTTTATCTCTTATGTATTAACAGAATTATTTAGCTCCATAACGTTTTTTCCACGAAAAAGCTCAAAAATAAAAGGCGTAAACCTGATTAAGATTAAAGAGACGTATATAACGTATAAGCGGGAGGAATGGCGATTGATCGTGAGGCGCATAACATTTGCCCACAGCAATGATACTGAATGACGACCACGACCGCTCTGACAAGAGTGATACGATCAAGAAAAATATAACGTATAATTTTGCTAGCAAACAAACATTTATTTTAACTAGTGCGCTCTCTATGAGATAGCCGGAGTCTAGAAGAAAACGGTATTATGATTGTATATTACGTTTTGGTGTGCCCTGTTCGAAAATTTGGCTCTAATCACAGAAAACTCAAACTCTGCGTTTCAGTTTATGTTAGAGATTGTCTCTTTTTTTATATTTAACATTTTGACAATCTCACCAAACAAAAAAGGATATATATAGGTACATATAATACATAAGTTTTGTTTTGTCTTTGCCTTATTATGTAGATCCTCTAAAAGCATCTTAATCATTATTCTTATTATAAATTCCCATAACAAAGTAATTATAATATTCGCTACAATATTTATACGCGGTCATAGATGTCGACCAACACACCGCTACGAAGCTTTCTACGAAGTCTTCAAACTTCGTTTGAATAGTTCACAAATAACTTAATATTTACGTAACCCGTTCAAGTTTACATAGTTAATTGTGGTAGAGTGTATATCTGATTACGCACTTAGACGCTAAGTCTGTTATTACCGTGAACGATCCGTTGTGACGGCGAGTAGTCCGGGGGCGAGTGAACACCCAGAGTGGCTGCGCACTCACGTAGCGATCGTTTGCAGACGTAATCTGTTTAATAAATTTAAACCATGTTCATTGGTTCCGTCTCGGTTAAAAGGGCTTGTAGGGTTTAGTTTTTATTTATTTATTTTCACTATAATTCGAATGAAGGTTAAAAATGTAATAACAAAAAAAAAAAAAAAACGAGTCCATTACATGTTAATAAGGGATTCAGTGTTGATAAACTAAGGGTGAAAAACTTGTGCGAAAAATATAGCAATAGACAGCAATTGCTAACTTTTTTTTATTTTATTGTTTAAATGAGTGGACGAGCTCACAGCCCATCTGGTGTTAAGAGGTTATTGGAGCACATAGACATCTACAACGTAAATGCGCCACCCACCTTGAGATATAAGTTCTAAGGTCTCTGTACAGTTACAAGGGCTACCCTACCCTTCAAACCGAAACGCATTACTGCTTCACGGCAGAAATAGGCAGGGTGGTGGTACCTACCCGTGCGGACTCACAAGAGGTCCTACCACCAGTATAACTGCTGCTAGTTAACTACTTTAGTGCGATTCGTAGGCTTTGAATTTTTATTCCTGCAGGATTTATATGGAAAGTCTTGTTTATTCTGAGTTTTTTGTTTCCTTTTCGTCTTATATCTGAGCATCCTCTATTCTACATACAAGATTACATTGCGGTGGTGCAGTCGATGTTAATAGCTGCTCAAACACCGACCCCAACCCGTCATATTGCAAGCACAAATAATTATTACACGGGCTATTAATATCGATCGCGTGCCGTTGAAAGGCGCGGCTCCCACTTAACGACCTCATTAGTCAGGCGCTATTACAATATTCATAATTGGGAATGGTTACGTGGACATTTTGTACACGTTTTACAACTGCGAAAAATATTAAGAATATTCGTCGTGGCCTAAAGGATAAGACGTCCAGTGCATTCGTGTTGAGCGATGCACCGGGTGTTCGAATCTCAGGCGTGTGCCAATTTTTCTGATGAAATACGTACTCAACAAATGTTCACGATTGACTTCCACGGTGAAGGAATAACATCGTATAATAAAAATCAAACTCGCAAAATTATAATTTGCGTAATTCCTTATGGTAGGACCTCTTGTGAGTCCGCCCGGGTAGGTACCACCGCCCTGCCTATTTCTGCCGTGAAGCAGTGGTGCGTTTCGGTTTGAAGGGTGGAGCAGCCGTTGTAACTATATGAGATCTTAGAACTTATATCTCATTGGGTGGCGCATTTACGTTGTAAATGTCTATGTGAGCTCGTCCACCCATTTCAGCAATAAAAAAAAAATACAAAAGATTGCATTGTGTAAATGTCATGAAGATTTTTTTGATGTACTGATAGGTGAAAAAGAAAGCGCAAATCCAGGAATAGTCTATTTAAATCCTACTAATGTTATAAACGCGAAAGTTTGTAAGAATAAATGTATGTAAGTTTGTTAGTCTTTCACGCAAAAAGTACTGAATGGATTTTGACGAAACTTTACAATAATATAGCTTACGAATCAGAATAACATACAGACTATAATTTACGGAGATATAGTGTGAATTACCCATAATATAACGACAAGTGTCAAGTAATTAGGACAAAAATATGCCATCTGCGAGGTACTCTTGTGTGCGCTGCAAAACCCGTCAGATTTACACGTGTATAATGTAAAACGGGTAATCTTTATGTGAAATGGAATAATATTTCTATTCTACTAAAAATAATATTTCTCTTAAGCAGGTATGCCTATAGAATAGCGATGCACCGGTGTTCGAATCTCGCAGGCGGGTACCAATTTTTCTAATGAAATACGCACTCAACAAATGTTCACGATTGACTTCCACGGTGAAGGAATAACATCGTGTAATAAAAATCAAACCCGCAAAATTACAATTTGCATAATCACTGGTGGTAGGACCTCTTGGGAGTCCGCACGGGTAGGTACCATCACCCCGCCTATTTCCGCCGTGAAGCAGTAATGCGTTTCGGTTCGAAGGGTGGGGTAGCCGTTGTAACTATACTGAGATCTTAGAACTTATATCTCGAGGTGGGTGGCGCATTTACGTTGTAGATGTCTATGGGTTCCAGTAACCACTTAACACCAGGTGGGCTGTGAGCTCGTCCACCCATCTAAAAATAAAAAAATAAAAAATTGCATTTAACTGGCTAAAATTTCGTGGAATTGTAGTAAATTTGTATATAGATTTCACCTAATGCTACTCATGAATAGGTCACGTAAGTAACGAAGTCTCCCTAAATACACTGTGCCCTTTAAAAATTCGTGGGTGACGTAATGTCACGTGACAACATGACCTCTATTGAGAATGTCTCGATAGCGAAAAGAAAACCTTTTCGCTATAGTTTTAAGGTAACGATTCAATCAATCGGAATAATAAGATCAATCGAAACTAGTAATTTTCACTTTTAACGCTCAATTACAGGAGTTGATGCTTGCTAATTACAGTACACACCGCTAATGTAATTGGGACTTTACATTAACATTACTATTGACACTAACTACGGATTTTAGTGATGCGCCATCTTTGAGGACGTCATCTCATTTATACAAAGAAAATGGACCAATACAAACGAAAATTAAGTTCGATTACATCTACAACATACTGGACGCTACGTCAGTTGATTTACAATTTGCATATATCAAATTGACGCTCATGCGACCGGAACCAGTACCGCCGGTCGGATGATAGAGCAACATATCAAGATAAATGACACATTTACAAATGAGAATATGACACGCGGCCACGCTCGGCATTCCCATCGCTAAATGTACGTATAACAACCTTTGTTATAACTATTCGCGAGCTTTCGAACTTCGATTTTACTATGACAAAAAGCTTTCCTAAAGCGCGGACAAGTACATAGCTTTAACTCTATGGATTAGAAGATATGCATATATTTCGAACTAACATAAATATTAATTTTAAATATTAGCGCGTGGACTTTAATTATGGTATGTGGTAATTTCTTATATTTCTCTGGTAGGTAGACGAGCATACAACCTACCTGATGATGAATGTTACTGTGGCTTACGGACCTACCCTATAGTACTCTCCGCAAGTGTCATTTGAAGAAGGACATGTCATAGCATTCGGGAAATATCGTATTCGTAGAAGAGATCTCTGGAAACGCACTGCGAATGAACGTAGCGGTCCTATTTATTATGAATAAACTCTACTCCGAACGGTGGGATGGTAAAAACGAAACTATAGAATAATCTCAAACAATTCCTCATTTTTCGATTTGAACCTAGTTGATTTAGAGTGAACTACTATAAATCTAATGTTATTGTTTGAATGGTTTATTCAACAGCCTCCTCAGTATCATATAACTGGACATGATCTAATGGAGGTCGTAGCTCACAATGAAACTTGAGTGTACAATAGCCTGGATAGCAATGGATAGCCCTTCAAAGGAAGGATTGTACCTATATGTAGGTGCTCACAATACGCCTTATCTATAGTAAATTGCTAAGTGAGTGGCGGTATTCAAGTTCCGTCTATACTTTCTGGTAACAGCCTAATGTCATGTACGATGTGATCACATCTACCCTTCGAGAGCAACAAAAAAACATGTGCGGTGTTGTGGGACACCGGATAGGAACGAAGTTCGTAATTATAAAAATATAAAAAGTTCTGTTCGAGGTATAAAGAAAATAAAACTGGAGGTTTCGCAACAACCCACGGTCATTCGGTAACGTGCAAGCTTATTGTGGTACACTTCATTCACGGTTGTTTGCATAAGAGTTAGTGTATTGCGCAAACGAACGCTCTGAGATCGTGGTCAATGAATGTCAAAGAAATATGTTATTTTTTTACATTATTACAAAGTTAAGTCGTACACTGTGTGCATTACTAATAAAAATCTTATGTTACGGACGTTTTTTCCCGGTTAGGATATCCCTCCGCATCGTTCCATAAGGAACTTCGTTCAAAAAAATCTGTACTTCTTATCTTTCCACATTTAATACCATATCCCACATCCCAGCTTCGATTTTTCCTGAAAACACATGCAGAGCCCGAAAGTGCATCTTCAGCAAAGACTCCAACTCGGATTTTAATGACCCTTGCAGCACTAGTTAAGTTTGTAAGATAATGCCGTTTAGTTGATTTTGTTAACGCTGTTCATAAATCGAGTGATCACACCGAAACTGTTGAATTCTATTGCACAACACACAAAACATCCCAACTCAATTTCATATTTAGTAAAATAACAAGAGACATACACCGCTTCCAAAAAAAGTAACTACATAATTATAAACTAGAGGTTTTTTTTATTGCTTAAACCGGTGGACGAGCTCACAGCCCACCTGATGTTAAGTGGTTACTGGAGCCCATAGACATCTACAGCGTAAATGCGCCACCCATCTAGAGATATAAGTTCTAAGGTCTCAAGTATAGTTAAAACGGCTGCCTCAACCTTCAAACCGAAACGCATTACTGCTTCACGGCAGAAATAGGCAGGGTGGTGGTACTCACCCGCGTGGACTCACAAGAGGTCCTACCACCAGTGAACTAGTGAGTAGTCTACCTATAGTTTTAACTAATGAGTACCCAATTATGTAACACAGTAAGCTATAAAACAAAAACACAACATGTTTCAATCCCTTAGCGAAACTTTTGGTACAACCATTGGAACCGTCTTCGATCTCTCGGAATTCGTGTGACCCACATAAACAGCTGTGTCAAAATCGATTTCGCGGATCGATATAAAGGTACATCAGCTGTTGATTTGAATGAAATCAGGGTCGTGACCCTGCTCCGAGGGGTCGTGGTGCTTGGCAAATCCAATAAAGATGACGTCACACTACTTTCCCATAATCTCTAAACGTGTTTTGTTCTCTTGACACTTCGATCGATATCTTTATCCGATGGAAAATAGCAGGGATAGCAGATACATGATTGATTAGCTAAAAATGACGTATTGATTGAAATATTTGGGTTAAATGAAAATAAAACATAATATTAAATTATGAATGTAGGATTTAAGCTTTTACTATTCAGATGAGTTACACACTCTACGCA